TCTGGTCCATAGTTTTCTCTCCACGTCCTTGAGGTCATTTCAGCTCCTGTGCATAAGTGAGTGGGACAGTACATTTCAGATCACACGAACCCACCTAAGGCAATAAGAGGTTTGATGAAGCCAGGGGACACAGCTGGTAGTCATCTTGGGGAGGCTGCTGTCCAAGAGTCTTCCACCTAGGTGTGGAGGCCAGTTTGTAGGTGGTTCAACCTGTCAGGCCTGGCAGATAGACTCAGACCTCATGGGAGGAGCAAGGAATGCAAAGTCCTGTCTTAAGTACCTCGTTGGCCACCCCTAAGATGTACTTCCTGGTTCCTGATTATAAACCTAGAGTAAAAGAATTACGGAAAGGAACTAAAAGGACAGCAAGAAAGTGAAAATTGCCAGGTATCGGTGGCTCACGCCTGTAATCCCTAACTACTCAGGAGGCTGAGATCTCAGGATTGCGGTTCAAAGCCAGCATAGGCAGGAAAGTCCATGAGATTCTTATCTCCAATGAACCACCAGAAAACCAGAAGCAGTGCTGTGGCTCAAGTGGTAGAGCACTCGCCTTGAGCTGAAGAGCTCAGGGACAGCGCCCAGGCCCAGAGTTCAAGCCCCAGGACAGACAAAAATAAATAAGAAAGTTAAAATTGGAGGTAGTAAAATGTTAAAGACTACAAGCAGTAAGCTTGAAATTTTATTAAGAAAAATTGGCTACTTTTTGCAATTGTGAATGTGCACGTATGCACGTGCACACACATGCATACCATTTAAACAATTGCCGTATTAGGGACACATATAGGATATGGGAGACCCAAGTCCAGGTAGTAAGTAGTTCTGAAAGAGCATTAGACCTAGCAGGCCCCTGGTTGCTTACATCTGTAATCTTGGGAAGTTGATATCTGAGGATCCTAGTTCAAATCAGCCTGAGCAAGAAAGTTTGGGAGATATTTATTTTTGTTTTTTATTGCTTATTATTTTTTTTTTGTCGGTCGTGGGGCTTGAACTCTGGGCCTGGGCACTGTCCCTCAGCTCTTCAGCTCAAGGCGAGTGCTTTACCACTTGAGCTACAGCACCACTTCCGGTTTTCTAGTGGTTTATTGGAGATAAGAGTCTCACAGTCTTTCCTGCCCAGGCTGGCTTTGAACCGCGATCCTCAGATCTCAGCCTCCTGAGTAGCTAGGATTACAGGCGTGAGCCACTGGTGCCCGGCTGCTTATTTCTTTTTTCTGGTCTTGGGCCTTGAATTCTGGGCTTGGGCTCTGTCCCTGAGCTTCTTTTGCTCAAGGCTAGCGGTCTACCCCTTGAGCCACAGCACCAACTTTTTCTGAGTAGTTTTATTGGAGGTAAGTGTCTCAGGGACTTTCCTGCCCATGCTGGCTTTGAACTGCTATCCTCAGATCTCAGCCTCCTGAGTAGCTAGGACTACAGGCACAAGCCTCTGGTGCCTGGCTCTGGAAGACTCCTGTCTCCAATTAACCAGCAAAAAGCTGGAAGTAAAGGTGTGGCTCAAATGGGAGAGTGCCAGCCTTGAATGGAAAAAGCCAAGCAAGAACACAAGGAACTGAGTTTAAGACGCAGTACCAACACACACACACACACACACACACACACACACAACACCTCTCTCTCACTCTCTCCAGTAGATTTGAGCTCCCTGAATTGGTAGAGTGTGCTCCATAGCTTGAACAGCTGCCTGGCTTTGTCTGAGAGTATTACCTTCGTCCTGACACAGTTGATCTAAACCGGGGATGTGTTCCTGTTTGTCATCATTTGGAAAAGGCCTGGCCCTCAGTAAGCTCTCTGTGAGTCCCTGGGAGCAGAACATGAGGCTGTGGCCTGGATTCTCAGGCTGGGAGGAGCCCATTGGCAGGGCTTCCACACCTCTTTTTGAAGGAGCCCAGGTTGAAGCTAACATGAGCAAATCCTTACAGTGAGTGTTTTGTGAACGAATGGGTGTTTCTCAGTGAGAGCAGTGAGGTGATTTTAGGTGGTTCCCAGACAGACATTTTACATTTCAGTAGTTGGAATTTATTACCTTGTTGGCTTTAGAAGAAAAGCAGGCCAGCCTTGGGTATTATTTTTAAAAAGCGATGTGTGATGATTTAATGACTCAGTACATTAAACAGGTAGTAGATGACTGTTTGGAAATGGAAAGAAATAGGTGATTGAATAAATAAGATCTTGATTCTTTGTGTGTTTTAAACATGATGTAGGAAATGAGGTGCTGGGTTTTTATGTGTATGTGTGTGTTGGTACTGGGGCTTGAACTCAAAACCTAGACACTGTCCCTTAGCTTTTTTTCACTCATGGCTGGGGCTCTACTACTTGAACCACACTTCCACTTCCAGATTTTTGGTGGCTAATTGGAGATAAGATTCTCACAGACTCTTCTGCCTAACTGCCTTTGAACTACAATCCCCAGATCTCAGCCTCCTGAGTAGCTAGGATTACAGGAGTAAGCCACTGGCTCCCAGCTTCTGGTTGTTTCTCTTGACAGTATATGTGAACATCTTGCCATGGCTGATGGCTGTGTCTCTAGCATAGTTCTCAAATGACTGGTTAGCATTTATTCCACTGTACAGACACACTGTAATTAGTTGACTTAATCTCCAGTTGGTAGCCTATATAAATCCTGAAACTTGGTGTTCGCCTCCCTTCAGAACTGGTGTCAGAGGTGCCAGACAGCCCTCTCTTCCTTGCTCTTTCTAACAATGTTGTAACAAATCCTTTGATCTTGGCCATTATGCCTGGCTACACCATGAGATCCTGTTTAACTCCATAGATGAGAGAACCAACTCTCTTCTATGGGCAGCGAGAACCATCCTGACTCACTTGCAGATGCCATTTTTACCACTAGAGGGCACTCTGAGATGCCTTTAAACTCAATCAGCCACTCACAGTAAGATAGTTCCCCTTTTTGCTTGAGCTCTGGGCACCTGGAAACTGACTTCCTTCAGAAACTGTCCTAACCCTTACTATGTGTCATGATGGTCTTTCCTCATTTACACTATTCATCATGGTTTTTTTAAATGCAGGTTTGTACACACTTGATTTTATGATATTCATGGGTCACAACTCACTGGAAACATACCATTATAGATACACAAGATGCTTACAACTTTTTTTTTTTTGGTCGGTCACGGGGCTTGAACTTAGGGTGTCGGTGCTGTCCCTGGACTTTTGTGCTCAAGGTTAGCACTCTACCATTTTGAACCATAGCACCATTTCCAGTTTTCTGGTGATTCACTGGAGATAAGAGTCTCATGGATTTTCCCGTCCGGGTTGGCCTTGAACTACAATCCTCAGATCTCAGCCTCTTGAGTAGCTATAATGCCTGACTTACAAAACTCTTTGAATGTGCTGTTTCCTTTGGAAATCCTGGACTTGTATAGCAAGTCTTGTCCAATGGTTAGTGCTGTGTCTGTACTAAGTTGCTGCAGTATGCAGCTAAGCTTAACGCCTATGTCTGTCCCAGTATGCAGATATTGAGGATAACTACAAGAGACAGCACCTCTGGGGCAGAAGAAAGCCTTGTTGGTAGATAAAAACAAAAGAAATGGTGTAGAACCTGCTTCTTCGTTGTTGTTGTTGGTGGTGGTGGTGGTGGTGGTGGTCATGGGGCTTGAACTCTGGGCCTGGGCACTGTTCCTGAGCTCTTCAGCTCAAAACTAGTGCTCTGCCACTTGAGCCACAGCACCATTTCTGGTTTTCTGGTGGTTTATTGGAGATAAGAGTCTCATGGACTTTTCTGCCTGGGCTGGCTTTGAACTGTGATCCTCAGATCTCAGCTTCCTGAATAGCTAGGATTACAGGCATAAGACACTGGCACCCAGCTAGAACCTGCTTCTGAGAGCTCAGAATCCAGCTGAGAGACATGCTACACACACACACACACACACACACACACACACACACACACCTTGAACATCAGCTTTGTTATCGAGGAGTGTAGACATGGATATATGGTGCTTTTGGCTGCAAGGAACTAAAGTCTGACTCAAGGTGTTTAGCTCACAAGTTGTACATTGCGAGGTAGAGTGGGCTGTAGGCCCATGTGGCTGAGGATGGCCTTGGCGATCCAGGCTCTTGTCATGAGTTGGCCTATGCCTCGCTCCTCATGGCTGGCCTATGCTTGGCTCCTCGTGGTTACCAAAAGGCTGCTAGGGAAAACTGGGGCACCAGCTCCCAGCTTCAGAACACTCGGGCTTTGGCTGCTGTAGTGCAGACCTGTGTAGAGAGCACATAGGCTGCTGTGGTGTTTTCTGAGTTAGAGTTTTTTGTTTGTGGATTCCCTCCTATGATCTCAGAGGCCTCTAAGTATAATGATGGGAGTGCAATACAGAGTTGGGAGAAGCACTTAGGTAGCAACTAGTGATGTCTGCCTGTATTTTTGAGGTTTCCTCTGGACACAAAGTGTGTGTGTGTGTGTGTGTGTGTGTGTGTGTGTGTGTGTGTGTGTGTGTGTGTATGTGTGTATGTGTGTATGTGTTTCGTGAGGCTTGAACTCTGGGCCTAGGCACTGTCCCTCAGATCTTCAGTTCAAGGCCAGAGCTCTGCCACTTGAGCTACAGCGCCACTTCTGGTTTTCTGGTGGTTAATTGGAAATAAGAATCTCATGGACTTTCCTGCCTGGCCGGGCTTTGAACCACAATCCTCAGATCACAGCCTTTTGAGTAGTTAGGATTACAGGCGTGAGCCACCAGCATCTGGCTGAATGTGTGTCTTAATAGAGCCATATGACTCGCTCATATGGCTGGGTGAATAATGATAGATCTTCTCTATGAAGTGTGAAGTGAGGTTATTTGCTCTCTGAGGGTCGATATGAGGAAGAGAGGTGAAGAACGATGATTGGGACACATGAGAGGAAGTTTAATGTGGGCAGATGAGTCTGTTGAAAGGTGGCCTAGGGTACTAACTGTGCATTTACTGGCCCTTCTCTCTGGATTCTCTGGTTCCTGGGGGCCCTGGGTCTGAACATTCTCTTCACTCATCTGCCTGTTCTTCCAACCCTTCAGGTTTGCAGTGAGCATTGGCTACTGGCATGACCCCTACATCCAGCACCTTGTGAGGCTGTGTAAAGAGAGGAAGGCGCCGGAAATAAACAGAGGCAAGTGACCATCCCCTCCCCACCAGCTCTTCCTCCCCCAGTGGCTTGAGTTGTTAGAGATCTATTCTTTTTTTTTTTTTAACTTTATTGTTACTATACTATACAAGTGATGAACAGAGGGCTTACGTTGACACGAGTCAGGTAATGAATGAGTGCCAATGTCTTCCGTCTCCTCATTCTCTCCCATCCCTCCCTGCCTCCCATTTCCACCTACAAGCTCACTTTCATCCGTGCCCAGTGAGCTCCACTGCTGCACTTGTTTACCCCCTTTCCCTTGAGTTCTGTACCCTCCCCCCCCACACATGTGAATATACCATACATAAGAAAAAAAGAATCATCATATATTTTATTTATGCATGCATGCATACATGCATGCCAGTCCTGAGGCTTACACTCTGGGCTCCTTTTGCTCAAGGTTAGGGATCTACCACTTGAGTCACAGCAGCACTTCCAGCTTTTTTCTGTGATTTAATTTGGAGATAAGGGTCTCACAGACTTTCCAGCCCAGGCTGGCTTCAAACCACAATCCTTAGATCTCAAACCTCCTGAGTAGCTAGGATTATAGGCGTGAGCCACTGGTGCTTGGCTACTTCCAGCTTTTTTTTTTTTTTTGGTGGCTAACTGGAGAAAAGAGTCTCATGGACTTTCCTGCCCTGGCTAGCTTTGAACCTCGATCCTCAGATCTCAGCTTCCTGAGTAGCTAGGATGACAGGCGTGAGCCACCAGCACCCAGCAATCAGAGACTCTTAACCCCTAATCAGGGCTCCTGTAAGAACAATGCCAAGAAGCATCAAACCCAGTCCTCTCCCCAGATGAGAAGGGGTCACCTCACCTGCCTGTTCTCCTTGTGGTCTTCAGGCAGATTGTGCAAAAGCCTTTGTGGCTGAGGGGACCCCTGGTTTGGCCGAGGAGCACTGTGCATGGAGAGTTTTGGCTTTCACCAGTGCTAGCTTGTTTCTCTGACTCTCCCACAGGCTATTACGCTCGCGTCCATGGCGTCAGTCAGCTCATAAAGGCTTTTCTCCGGAAAACAGAATGCCACTGTCAGATTCTCAACCTTGGGGCTGGAATGGACACCACTTTCTGGAAACTGAAGGTACATCATCATCCTCATTCTCCTCGTCATTCATTCCCCCTGGGACTGGCAGAGATCTTTACTTGAAGCCTTGCGCTGGTGGCTCACGCCTGTCATCCCAGCTACTCAGGAGGGCCAAGAGCTGAAAATCCCAGATCAAAGCCAACCTCAGGCAGGAAAATCTGTGAGACTCTCATCTCCAACGAGCCACCAGAAAAACCACACGTGGAGCTGTGGCTCAAAGTGGTCAAACACCAGCCTTCAGCAAAAAAAAAAAAAAAAAAGCTCAGGGATAGAGCCTAGGCCTTGAGTTCAAGCCCAGAGACAGAGAAAAACAAAACAAAACAAAAATCGCCCTGATGCAGAATTGAAAAACACATGACATGACAACAAACGAAATGGTAGCCTGTCTCTTGCCCCTGTCCTCGCCTCCCTAGACCTTGCTCCCCCTCTCCCTCTGGCCTCCTTCCCTCCCCCGTCCCCCTTCACCCACTCCCCATTCCCCTGCTCTCCTGGTTGCATTGCCATTTTATTGTAGGTCTGTGCAGATTCCTCTGTGAGGCTGATCATGTGGCAGGAATAGAAGCGTGGCTTACTTTCCCCAGATGCCTGGCAGGTGCAGATTGAGATCAATGAGAGCGGGTGGCTGCAACCTGACCTGCTTAGCTATTGCATCACTAATCAGCCCACCTGATAAGCTCTTGGTCATCAGAACAGTTGGCCTTTCTCCTACATGAGAAACCATTGGCCTCCATGTGGACTCTGTGTTCAGTGCTTGCCTCTGCATTCTTTTAGGATGAGATAACCAACACGCATGAGAACCTTCTACCTAAGGGATCTCATGACTATGTCTGAGCGCTGTGTGAGTGGGGTCTTCACAGACGGAGGAAATGAGGCTGGCATGGGGGACACAGTTTAGAATCAGCTCATCCAGTGCTAAATCCCTCTCCATCTTTGTACATGACCCCAGTGGCTGTTCAAGGAGTTCTCTTTGGTGACATCCCCTTGTCTGTGGACCTGTTTGTGTTTGTAAGGAAGCGTCCAGAATTGTGGTATAAGGAACTAGTGGATACTGTGTAAGGCCTAAGACCTCTTCTTTGTGTGTGTGTGTGTGTGTGTGTGTGTGTGTGTGTGTGTGTGTGTGTGCGTGTGTGTGTGGGCTTGAACTCAGGGCTTAGACACTGCCCCTGAGCTTTTGTGCTCAGAGCTAGTGTTCTACCACTTGAGTCACAGCACCATTTCCAGCTTTTTAGTAGAAATAAGAGCCTCACAGACTCTCCTGCCTGGGCTGGCTTCAAACCTAGATCCTCAGATCTCAGCCTCCTGAGTAGCTAGGATTTTAAGCATGAGCCACTAGCTCATGTTACTATGGTAACTACTTTATTGTTTCATCCAAAAACTGTTGGTCAGAACTCACATGGATTTCCCCATCTTTTTTTTTTTTTCTCTCTTTTTTGTCCATTGTGGGGCTTGAACTCAGGGCCTGGGCTCTGTCCCTCAGCCTCTTGGTGCTCAAAGCTAGTGCTAGTCTACCACTTGAGCCACAGCTGCCCTTACAGTTTTTGAGTGGTTAATGGGAGATAAGAGTCTCACAGGGACTTTTCTGCCTGGGCTGTCTTTGAACCACCACCCTCAGATCTCAGCCTCCTGAGTAGCTAGGATGACAGGCGTGAGCCACCGGCATCTGGCTCCCCTCCCCTCCTGCACACCATTCCTCTATTCTGTATGAATTATTCTTTAGCTCTAAGTGTTTGCTACATGGGGGTGGGGGTGGGGAGTGTGGTGATGATCCATGAATATGTGAGTACAGAAACTGCAGAAATGATTTTGGGTATTTCCCCAGGATGAAGAGCTTCTCCCAAGCAAATATTTTGAAGTCGACTTTCCAGTGATCGTCACCAGAAAGCTGCACAACATTAAGTAAGTCCAGCTGTGCGGGAAGCGGGATCCTGGGGGCCTGGGAGCCGGCTCTGCGCCTGGCAGGGCAGATGCTAGAGACCTCATTTTTGGGTGTGCTGTCCCCAACCCCCTTTCCACTTTCTTTGGTGCCGCAGGCCTCTCGTCCAGCTTGTTCATGCCGCTTTCAGAGCACAGCGTAGCTTCCCTTTACTGTCTTGTGCATGCATGTCATTTATTCTTATTTATTTATTTTTATTTTCTTTGCATGGGGCTTGAACTCTGGGCCTGGGCACCATCCCTGAGCTCTTCAGCCCAGGGCTAGCACTCTACTACTTGAGCCACAGCACCACTTCTGGTTTTCTGGTGGTTAATTGGAGATAAGAGTTTCATAGACTTTCCTGCCCAGGCCGGCTTTGAACTGCAATCCTCAGATCTCAGCCTCCTGAGTAGCTAGGATTACAGGTGTGAGCCACCTGCACCTGGCTTTTTTTTGGGGGGGGGGCTGCCAGTACTGGGGCTTGAACTCAGGGCTTAGATACTGTCTCTTAGATTTTTTTGCTCAAGGCTAGCACTCTACCACTTGAGCTATAGCTCCACTTCCAGCTTTTCCTGCCCAGCCTACCTTCGAACTGTGATTCACAGATCTTGGCCCTCCTAAGTAATTAGGATGACAAGCATGAGCCACCAGCCCCTAGCTACTACACTTTTCAGAGTCCAATTCTTGTGTTTATCTATGGTAAAGAACAGCAGTCTCCTAATTTTTGGTGGAGTGTAAACCAGAAAGTAGAGATGCCTCCACGCCATTTCATGTTTGGAAGAGTCTTACTGACTCTCTTGAAGCTGAGTTATTTCATGATCAGTGTGTGATTTGGAGCCCAGTGCTGACCCACTCAGCTGATCTACTCCAAGTCCTGTGTACTGGATTCTTTCTCTCTGAGGGGAAGGTCTTTGGGAATGGCTCCTGGCTTAGAACAGTAGCAATAGATAATGGTAGAACGTCCCTAAATCTCAAAACATGAAATCCTAGATGCCCTAGTCTCTGAAGCTCTTTGACTGTCATGTCAGATTAGGGCTGCTTAACTACTAAGATATCTGTAAGCAGTTTCAAATCTGAGAAAAATCTAGAACCCATATAAGTTCTGATCTTAAAGCATAAAGGTCCCTGAGCCCCCAACATTACCGTGTGGGTAGTCGGCGCCTGCATCTGGGCCACCCATACACTGGAGAGTACACTGATGGGTAACTGACATTCCTTCTTTTCTGTCGCCCTTAGAAACAAGCCTCTCCTGTCCACACCCATTGTAGACCTTAATTCGGAGGCCACTCTGCAGCTGGGCAAGTATCTCCTACCCAACGAGCATGGGGTCATGCTCTTCATTTTGTTTTAAAAGATGGTGTGCACTATGACACCGTGAATTCGTCTACATTCATATCATGCTTACCATGAAGGAGATTTTTTTTTTTTTTTGGGTAGGTCATGGGGTTTCAACTCAGGGCCGGGTTGCTTTTTTTGCTTAAGGCTTAGCACTCTACCATTTTGAGCCACAGTTTCACTTTTGGTTTTCTGGGGGTTCATTGGAGATGTGTCTCACAGACTTTCCTGCCTGGGTTGGCTTTGAACTGCAATTCTCACATCCTCTAGAATTATAGTACAATATAATATAGCCTCTAGGATTATAGTATTGTAAAGCCATTAGCAGGAATGAGAGGATCTATATACTCTGACATATATACTAAAGGATTGTATTCCTCTAGGATTATAGTGTGAGCCACCAGCACCCAGTGCATGAAGGTGTTGTTTGTTTGTTTGTGTTTGTTTTTTGTTTTTGTTTTTGTCAGTCGTGGGGCTTGAACTGGATGCTGTCCTTCAGCTCTTCAGCTCCAGGTGAATGCTCTACCACTTGAGCCACAGTACCACTTCTAGTTTTCTGGTGGTTAATTGGAGATAAGAATCTCATTGAATTTTCTGCCTGGGCTGGCTTTAGACTTCAATCCTCCAATCTCAGCCTCCTGAGTAGCTAGGATAACCTGTGTGAGCCCCCAGCACCCAGAATTCTTGTATGTAATTTTTTATAAACAGTGAATAATTCATGCACAGTTTTGGTAACTTGGTCCTTCCATGTCCTGAATAACCACAACCATCTTTCATGTCAGAGTATATAGAGCCCCTCATTCTTGCTAATGGCTTTATAGTGCTTCTTTTCTTGGAAAATTCATTATATTTAATGTTTCCTACAAATGGCCATTTAGGTTGTTGCCTTTTTGTGATTTTCTGTCAAACGATATTGCATAAAAATATGTGTATATGCATATTTTCAGGAATTGCTCGTTCAAAGAATTGGTGTCTTCTGAATTTTTATAGCACCAGTCAAATTGCTTTTGAGATTCCTTTGCATTTATGTTCTCAGTAACTCTCCTGCGTCTGTCCTGGGCTTGCACACTGAACACTGGTCTAATGGGCTGAAATGCTGTCCTGTTATCTGAACAATTTATATGAACTTTGAGCACCAAGGACATGTCATCTGTCCTTGGCAGTTTTTGGCCTTTGGGACTCCAGTGCACATTTTTATTTTGTTTACTTTGTTCATCTGTTTGATTGTATTACTTCTTTTTCCTTTTATAGGAACACGTTTGTTTGTTTGTTTGTTTGTTTGTTTGTGGGGTTTAAACTTAGGGCCTGAGCACTGTCCCTGAGCCTCTTTGTGCTCAAGGCTAGCACCCAAGGCATGAGCCACCAGCACCTGGCTTATAGGAACAGTTTTTAATATCTATAGAAGGTCTTTGATAAAGGTTCCTTGGAAACTTCTTTTTCAATTGCAGATTTTTTTTTGGCGGGGGTGGGGGGGTTGGTCATGGATTTGAACTTGGGGCCTGGGTACTGTCTCTAAGCTCCTTTGCTCAAGGTTAATGCTCTACCTCTTTCACTACCCCTCCATTTCCAGCTTTTTGGTGGTTCATTACACAGACTTTTCTCAGACTTTTCTGCCTGGGCTGTCTTGAAACGAAGATCCTCAAATCTCCTTCTCCTAGGTAGCTAGAATTGCAGGCATGAGCCACCAGCACCCGGCTAGAATGAGGGTTTTTTTTTAGAAAGGAAACCAAATGCTGTTACCTCCCTGCTTCAGACATTCTACCAAATGTGGCCTATATCCTGCCAGGCCTCCTGAACGTAGCTTCAGCCACTGTAGATGGGGGCCAGCCACACAGATCTCCTGCTGTCCTCATGTGCAGAATGCACACACGTGCTCTCCCTCAGCACTGTTCCCTGGGTCTCTCCTCTCTCCTCTCTCCTCTCTGCTGGATGGATGCCTCCTTACTGCCTGCCTCTCAGCTCAGCCACTAACCACCTCCTTGGACTACAGATGGCCTCCTGTCCCCTGGGCCTTATGACACACTCTTCCTGTCACATTTCTACATCATGGGGCTATAAACCCCCATGAGGGCAGGAGCCATGTATTTTCTTTTCTTTTTCTCATTGTTGAGACAGAGTCTTTATAGCCTAAGCCATCTATAGCCAAACTCAAGATCCTCCTGCCTCAGCCTCCTGAGCGTCGGGATTGCAGACATGCAGCACCATACCCTGCTCAGGGACTGTGTGCTCCAGTTCATTGTATTCCCCAAGTTGATTCAGTGCTTTGTGCGTAGATCTCAGAAATGATCCAAGAGGTGGACAGAAGGGCAAATTAATCTTTTGTATGGTCCACCTGAGGCAGCTTATTACTGTTGAGTAAAGTGTCCTGGGAAAATCTATGGTCCGAAAAGAACGCTTTGTAATCTTTAAGACTACTTGTCATTGGAGATGCAAGGAACAGGAGTGATGAGATTCAGTCCTGGTCAGCAGTCTTTTTTTATTTTTGTGCCAGTACAGGGGCTTGAACTCAGGGCCTCAGTGCTGTCCTGAGCTTTTTTGCTCAAGGCTGGCACTTGAGATTTTTGCTTGTTAATTGTTAATTGGACTTTCCTGTCCAGTCTGGCTTCTATCCTTGATCCTCAGGTCTCAGCCTCCTAGGTAGCCAGGATTACAGGCGTAAGCCACTGGTGCCTGGACATTACCTGACTTTTTTTTTTTTTTTTAACGGTGATCATGTTTTTTTTTGGTATGTGTGTGTGTGGTGGTGTTTTTAATAGTAATTATGGAATATGGATGTTTTACTGAATTTCATATTGCAATAAACACTGAAAAACAATTACACCAATACAATAAAAAATAATTGTACCCACAGAACACTTACAAATGCATACTTTTTCCTCCAAAGAAATTTGTTTTCACAGACTTTTAAGTAACAAATGATTTACATAGTCTTCAGATTCCAAAATATGTACAAAACTTTTGACTACAGAAACCGATGTTTTGTGTTATATGTGTGTATATAGATATAGATAGATATAGATGGTGGCTTGAAGTCAGGCTTGGGCACTGTCCCCGAGCTTTTGTGCTCAAGGCTAGCTCTTTAGCACTTGAGCACTTGAGCCACAGCTCTACTTCTGAAGGATTTTTGGTGCTTAATTGGAGATAGAGTCTCAGGGGCTTTCCTTCTGGGCTGGCTTTGTAGTACAATCCTGAGAGCCCAGCATCCTAGTTGCTAGGATTATAGGCATGAGCCACTGGTGCCTGGCTAAGACCATTGCTTTAATTTGAGAAAGCCATTTGCCTTCACACTGTGGTCTTTTTCCTGAAAGATTTCTGCTAAAATGATCGTCTTTTCTTGCACTTGCAGATGGGCACATGCTGGATTCAAAGAGATATGCCATTATTGGAGCTGATCTCCGGGACCTATCAGAGCTAGAAGAGAAACTAAAGAAATGTAACATGAATACACAGTGAGATCTTTTTTTTAAACCTCTTATGCATCTGTGAGTTGCTGCTAGCAGTGAGATGTGACTGGCCAGAGCCTCAGCCTCATCCCAACTCCCTCATTTAGTATAAAAGTTGCTCATGTCTTGGCTCCTCAGAGTGATTTTCTAACATTTGTAGACCTTGCTGTTTCTTAAGCCTGCTGCCATATCAGAATCACCGGTATTATTATTATTATTATTTTATTGTTATTATTTTATACTGGTCCTGGGGCTTGAACTCAGAGCCAGAGCACTGTCCCTTAGTTTTTTCTCTCAAGGCTAGCACTCTATCACTTGGGACACAGCTCCACATCTGGCTTGTTGGTGGTTTATTGGTGATAAAGAGTCTCAAGGACTTTCAGCCTGAATACCTAGGATTACAGGACCTGGATACCTTTTGGTTTTAAAAAATACTGATTGGTGCCCAATATGAGCAAAGTTTGAAAGAAGATAATCATATGGACAGAAACATCATTACAACATATAAGGAAAGAATTAGCATCTTAGAAGGTGTGAAAAAGCATGTCTGTAATCTGTTCATCAATGTGATGGTGATCTTTGTGCTCTTTACCTGTTCACCTTAGAATCATCCTCTGGGTTACCCTTGCTAGGACTTGCAGGCCAGTCCACCGGTCCCATGTTAGAACTGGCTCTAATTGATCCAGTGCCATCGCTCCAGCTTTATTTTCTGAGTCTTTGTCTCAGTGAGTGCTCAGAAGCAGGGTCATTGCTATGGTTTGGATCCATGCTATGGCCCATGTGTTAAAGGTTGGTCTTCTGTTAAAGGTTGGGACATGGTGGAGCCTTTAAGAGGTGGAGCCTAGCGGGAGGTCTTCAGGTCATTGAGGGTGGGTCTTTGAAGCTCTTTCCTCTGGGTTTTATATCTAGTGTCCCTCCTCTGCCATTCATTTCCTAAACTTATGTGTTGCCAGAAGCAACAGGGCCAACCAATTGTGCTTTTCCTACTTCTCAGTTTGTCAATGGCTCTGTGTCTGGCATATCTGTTTCTTGCAGTCTGTGCTGGGGATGGAACCCAAGGCCTGGCAGATGCTAGGCAAGTGTTCTACACCAAGCCACCCCCACCCTCCACCCCCTACTGTTTATGGTGAAAGCTTATATAGGAAGAATTGGGTCCTGTTAAATAAACACCCATATTTCCTCTGAACCAATCACCACTGAACACTCACTCCCAAATGCCATGGTTTGAAACAACTCATAATACAGTTGCTCCAGATTCCGTGACTTAGCATTTGGCATGGGGTTAAGCTGAGTGGTTCTTCTTCTGGGGGCCAGGAATATCTGGGGGCATGCCGTTGGGGGAGGGAGTCATGGCTGTGGACAGTGGACAGGGAGCCGAAGATATGCAGCTGGGATTCCTCATTCTCTTCCTCTGCCAGGCTGCTTGACTTCATTCACTTAGGGTTTCAGGTTTCTTTTTTTTTTTTTTTTGGGTCCGGTCGTGAGGCCTGAACTCTGGGCCTGGGCGCTGTCCCTCAGCTCTTCAGCTCAAGGCTAGCGCTCTACCACTTGAGCCACAGCGCCACTTCCGGCTTTTTTCTTTTTGCTTATGTGGTGCTGGGGAATCGAACCCAGGGCCTCAGGCATGCAAGGCAAGTGCTCTACCACTTAGCCACCTTCCCAGCCCCCAGGGTTTCAGGTTTCTGAGGGCAGCAAGAGAACAAGGGCAAGTGCGTGAGCGATTTCTGAACTCCCACTTATCTCATATTTGCTCCTGCCCTATTGGCCAGGCGCATGGGGGGGGGCGGGACCTCATCCTCATGAGTGTGCTGGCACATTGCTCACCTCTTCTCAGTTCTGAACGTAGGGCTGCAAGGGCTTTGCCCTTGGATCACACCTGTGGGTTGGTGCTGTGCTGGCTGAGTCTTTCTGGGTTTTCTTGCAATACAACCTACCAAAAAATAAACGCAACCTGTGTGTAAGTAGAGGGTCCTGACTTGGTGAAAACACATTTATACTCCTTTTGTTTGTCTGTTTTCTTAAGATTGCCAACACTCCTGATAACTGAATGTGTGCTGGTTTACATGACCCCTGAGCAGTCAGCAAACCTCATCAAGTGGGCAGCTAATACTTTTGAGACGGCCATGTTCATAAACTATGAACAGGTAAGAGGAACACAGGAGAGATGGAGTCTGCCCAGGGGTCCCAGGTGGCTCTCTCTCTTTATTATTGTCGGTTGTAGGGCTTGAACTCAGAGCTTGGGGACTATCCCTGAGCTCTTTTTGCTCAAGGCTAGTGCTCTACCACTTTGAGCCACAGCTCCATTTCTGGTTTTGGGGTGGTTAATTAGAGATAAGAGTCTCATGGACTTTCCTGCCTAGGCTGGCTTTGAACTGTGATCCTCATATTTCAGCTTCCTGAGTAGCTAGGATTGCAAGCATGAGCCTCTAGCACCTGGCCCCTATTTATTTTATTTTATTATTATTTTTTTGAATTCAGGGCTTGGACACTGTCCCTGAGCTTCTCTGTGCTCAAGGCTAGCGCTCTACTACGTGAGCCACAGTACCACTTCTGGCTTTTTCTGTGTATGTGGTACTTAGGAATCAAACCCAGGGCTTCATGCATACTAGGCAAGCACTCTATCACTAAGCCACATTCACAGCCCCTGATTTTATTTTTGAAAATTTTCTTTTATTTCAGTACAGGTAAGAGCAATAAAGAGACTTGGCCCATGCCATGTCATTATAAATAGATTTACAGGCACACACTGGGATCTTTTCCTGCCCAGCTTCAGTCCAGGCCTAGGCTCCTGGCTTTTCTCTCTCTCTCTCCTCTTTCTTTCGCCTCTCTCCTGTCTCCTCTCATTCTTCTCTCTCATCTCTCTCTCTCTCTCTTTCATCTCTCTCTCTCTTGCTGTCTTTCTTTTTCGCTGGTTCTGGGGCTTGAACTCTGAGCCTGGGTGCTGTTCCTGGACTTTTGTGTCCAAGCCTAGTGCTTGAGCCATAGCTCTCTTTCTGATTTTTTGTGGGATTTTTTTTTTGTCGGTTGTGGGGCTTGAACTCTGAGCCTGGCCACTGTCTCCCAGATCTTCAGCTCAAGGCTAGCACTCTACCACTTGAGCCACAGCACCACTTCGGGCCTTTTTCTGTTTGTGGTGCTGAGGAATTGAACCCAGGGCCTCATGCATGGGAGGCAAGCACTCTACCACTGAGCCACCTTCCCAGCCCTTTTTGTGGTTAATTGGAGCTAAGAGTCTCACAGCCTTTTTATGCCCAGGCTGACTTCAAACTGTGATCCTCAGATCTCAGCCTGAGTAGCTAGGATTATAGATGTGAGCCACTGGCACCCAGCTTTCCTCCTCCTTTTTATGGGAGCCTTACTCTGACTGTCATCCTTCATACTGGGAAAACAATGCCAGCAGTGCTGGCCTCTGCCTTCTCTTGAGATGTGAATGCATCTGACCACCCATCCATGCATTCGGCGTGCAGCCCTGGGGAATAGGACCCCTCTCCCACACAGTTCCAGCATGCTCTGCATTCAAGCATGTGTCCAGCCTTGTATGTGAGTGCCAGGCCTTCACTTCAGAACTGGCCTGGGAGCCAGCCAGTGTGCAGCGTGCAGCCCACAGCTGCCCCTCACCTGCTCTGCCTCCCACCCCACCCCCCACTGGTCCAGGAGTCACTGAACTTATCAGTAGTTTTCTAGCCAGCCAGATTCATCAGAAACCTCACATCATGTGTTCCCACACCCCTTACTGCCTTCTGTTCTTTCTCAGTAGTTTAGAATGAGAATGCTTATTAGATTTTTGTCTACTCTGTGCTGGGCACTGTTCTATGAGGTTTTTTGTTTTAGGTTTTTTTTTGTTGTTGTTTGTTGTTTTGGTTTGGTTTTGTGGTAGTGTTGGTGTTTGAACTCAGGGCCTGGGTGCTGTCCCTGAGCTTTTTCACTCAAGGCTAGTACTCTACTACTTGAGCCACAGCTCTACTTCTGGCTTTTTGCTGTTAAATTGGAAATAAGAATCTCCTGGATACTGGGTGCCAGTGGCTTACACCTGTAATCCTAGCTACTCAGGAGGTTGAGATCTAAGGATCACGGTTCAAAGCCAGCCCGAGCAGGAAAGTCTGTAAGACTCTTATCTGCGATAAACCACCAGAAAACCAGAAGTGAGACTCTGGCTCAAGTGGTATAGTGCTAACCTTGAGCTGAACAGCATCCAGGCTCAGAGTTCAAGCCCCACAAGTGACCAAAAAAAAAAAATAATAATTCTCACAGACTTTCCTGTTCAGGCTCATGCCATACCGTGATCCTCAGACCTCAGCTTCCTGAGTAGCAAGGGATTCAAGTGGTAGTGTAGTTTGTGTATTTAAGAAACAGACACGCGCAGGGATGTCTGACGTGGCGTCTCCTCCCCCAGGTGAACATGGATGATCGGTTTGGGCAGATCATGATTGAAAACCTCCGGAGACGGCAGTGCGACCTGGCAGGAGTGGAAACCTGCAAGTCATTAGAGTCTCAGGTCAGAGAGTGGGGATCGGGACGTCCACGTGTACCGTGGCCAGCTCGGACCGGGCTTGCTCCCTGGCAGGTGATGTGATATGAGAGGCCCTGAAGCCCTGCCAGCCCCAGCAGCTGGGGCTCCCCAGGCTAAAAAGCCAAAGTCCAGACACACCTCTTCCGCCAAGGAAAAACACATCTACATTCCCTGCACCCCATCATACAAATCTATCATTATTATTATTACCATTATTATTTTGTATCAGTTTTGAGGGTCTGGATGCTGTTCTTGAGCTTTTTTTTTTTTTTTTTTTTGCTCAAGACTAGCACTCTACCACTTGAGCCACAGCTCCACTTCTGGCTTTTTTGCTGGTTAGTTGAAGATCACAGTCCTAGGGATTTTCCTGCCCAGGCTGGCTTCAAACTGTGATCCTCAGATCCCAGCCTCCAATTTTAGCCAAGATTACAGGCATCAGCCACCAGTGCCTGTGGGCAAATCAATTTTTTAATTTTTTTTTGGGGGGGGAGGGTCTTCTCTTTTTGGTGCTGGGGACTGAACCCAGGATGTTGTACTTGCTATATTCTAGCCCTGTAAATCTAATTGTTAATATGCAATTCCAGTGCTAGGGCTTGAACTTAGGACCTGGGCCCTCTCCCTTAGGTTTTTCACTCAAGGCTGGTGCTCGACCCCTTGAGTCATACCTCTACTTCTGGCTTTTTGTTGATTAATTGGAGATATAAGTTTCATGGACTTTCCTGCCAGGGTTGGCTTCAAACCTTGGTCCTCAGATCTCCATCTTTTGAGTAGCTAGGATTATAAGTCTGAGCCACCTAGGCCAAGTAGGAAGTCTTTTTTTGTCATGCAAAGTTTTAAACGTAAAGGTTTAAGAATTAGGTGCAGTTAGAGGCTGGGAAGGTGGCTCAGTGGTAGAGTGCTTGTCTCCCATGCATGAGGCCCTGGGTTCGATTCCTCAGCATGACACAAACAGAAAAGGCTGGAAGTGGCACCGTGGTTCAAATGGTAGAGCGCTAGCCTTGAGCTGAAGAGCTCAGGGACAGTGCCCAGGCCTAGAGTTCGAGCCCTACAACTGACCCCCCCACCCAAAAAGAAAAGAATTAGGTGCAGTCAACACTCATACATACCCCACCAGCCAGCTTGAGTAATTGCTAACATTCTGTCAATATTGTTTCAGGTGGCCTCTGCAGACTATTTCAGGCAAATCCCAGACTGTACCTGTGTACTCAGGCTGTAACTGTGGTCCCTGTAAGGACTTTCTCCCTCTAGGATGACCACATTCTTGTTTTTTTTTTACACTAGCAAAAGCCACAGTAATGCTGTTGCTTCCCAAACCCCACAGCTTTCCTTGGTTCTCTCTCTCTCTCTCTTTCTCTCTCTCTCTCTCTTTTAACCAGTTCTGGGACTTGAACTCAGGGCCTGGGCACTGTCCCTGAGCTTCTTTTGCTCAAGACTAGTACTCTACCACTTCGGGCTTTTTCTGTTTATGTAGTACTGAGAATTCGAACCCAGGGCTTCATGCTTTCTAGGCAAACACTCTACCCCTAAGCCACATTCCCAGGCCTTCCCTTGGTTCTTTAAAAACACTGCTCATAAGCTGGGTACTGTGGCTCATACCTATAATCCTAGCTACACAGGAAGCTGAGATCTGAAGATCACAGTTCCAAGCCACTCCAGGCAGAAAAGTCTATGAGGCTTCTATCACCAGTTAACCAGCAAAAAGCCAGAGGTGGAGGTGTTGGCTCAAGGGGTAGAGTGCCAGGCTTGAGTGAAAACACTAAGCAAGGGAGCAAGGTCCTGAGTGCAGGTCTTAGTACTGGCACATACTAAAATCCCAACACTTTTAGGAATGAAGTGCTGGAGTGAGGATCCATCATGAGCCAGTTATTGATATGTCACTGATATCTCTTTAAATCTGCACTAAAAAAAAAAATCAAATCTGGGCCCCAGTGGCTGATACCTGTAATCCTAGCTACTCAGGAGGCAGAGATCTGAGGATTGTGGTTCAAAGCCAGCCCAGGCAGGAAAAACCATGAAACTCTATCTCCAATAAACCACCAGAAAACCAGAAGTAGCACCGTGGCTCAAGTGGTAGAGCACTAGCCTTGAGCAAAAGGAGCCCAGGGACAGTGCCCAGGCCCAGAGTTCAAGCCCCAGGCCCGGCAAACAAACAAACAAACAACAAAAAAAAACTGTGGCTTATGGAAAAGTCTCCTCCTTTGTTTTTCCCTAAATACACTTTAGTGAGTTTTCCCCTCACAGTAACAATGGGTGTTCAGTACAGAAATCTGGCGAATGGGAAGAAGGAAGATCAGAGGCGCAGAATGGGCTTTGGAAGGAGGGGAACATCCTGGTGGGCATTAGGGTCTCAGCTCTTGCTATTCAGGGCCTGTGCAGCTGTGTGTTTCTCTTCCCTGCCTTTCAGAAAGAGCGCCTCCTGCTGAACGGGTGGGAGACGGCCTCAGCCCTGAACATGATGGAGCTGTACAGCAGGCTGCCGCGTGCCGAGGTGAACAGGTACGGCCAGTGTGACAAACGGGCTCAGGCTTGAGTCCAGGTCCTCCAGTGTGAAGCACAGCTTCCTGTGGATGTACCAGGGCTTGAACTCGGTACCTGGGCTCTGTCCCTGAACTTTTCCCCTCAATGCTGGTGCTCACCCCTTGAGCCACACCTCCACTTCCAGCTTTCTTGGGAGGTTATTTGGAGATGAAGAGTCTCACAGATGAAGCGGGACACAGGTGGCTCACACCTTTTTATCCAAGCCACCCAGGAGGCTGAGATTTGAGGATTGAAGTTCAAAGCTAGCCCAGGTGGGAAAGTCCATGAGACCCTTACCTCCAGTTAATCAACAAAAAGCCAAAAGTGGAGCTAGATACTAGTCACTAATCCTAGAGCATTAGCCTTGTGTGAAAAATCTCAAGGACAGCGTCCAGGCTCCGAGTTCAAGCCCCAGGTCTGGCACGAAAATAAATAATCTCACAGACTTTCATGCTTGAGATGGCTTCAAATCAAGAGCCTCCGATTTCAAGCCTCCTGAGTAGCTAGGATTACAGGTGGGAGCCACTGGTGCCCATCCAGACTTGTTTTGAAAACAAGGGAAACATTGGTAGCCCCTTAGCTATCAGCTGAGATAAAGGTTATGCAACAAGTAGATTATTTTAGTCAGGAGACACAATAACACCTGGGAAATTCCCAGACCCATGTCTGCTATGGAAAACTTGTATAATCTCTGTTTTGAGAAGGAAGAAAAAAAATACTTTTTTTTTTTTTTTTTTGACACAGGGTTTTATTACGTTGCTCTCACAATCCTCTTGCTTCTGCCTCCATGAAGCCGCAGGGATTACAGGCTTGCACCACTATGCCTGGCAGGTGGCCTGTCCATTTTTAAACGCATGTCTTCCTCATCCTAAAATGACGTGTACCCTGTGCATCGTGATACAGATCTATAGGTCCAGCACTCAGGAGCTTGAGGCAGGAGACGCATGAGTCACACACAGGTCAGCGTGGATCACTATGCAGAGACGGCGCATGCGCACGTCAGGTTGGGAACTCCAGGTGTGGCTCAAGTGGTAGAGCTCCCACCTGACAAGCACAGAACCCTGAGTTCAAACTGCATTGACAACACACGTTCAAAAAGTAAGAAATAACAAAAACAAGTTGAAACACCTTTTCTCTCCTGTGCCTGCACAGATACTCCTATGTAGACTGTAGACTTGTGCTTGTTTTGTTTTGTTGGTTGTGGGGCTTGAACTGTCCCTCAGCTCTTCATCTCAAGGCAAGCACTCTACCACTTGAGCCACAGCGCCAGTTCTGGTTTTCTGGTGGTTCATTGGAGATTAGAGTCTCACAGACTTTCCTGCCTGGGCTGACTTTGAACCGCGATCCTTAGAGCTCAGCCTCCTGAGTAGCTAGGCGTGAGCCACCAGCGCCTGGCAATTTTCACTTTCTTGCTGTCCTTTTAGTTCTGTTCCCTGATTCTTTTATTCTAGGTTTATAAACAGGAACCAGGAAGTAAATCTTAGGGTGACTTGTGCCTTTTAAATCAACTTATTTATACCCCACATACTGGTCTTGAACTTGCCCTCCATCCCCGCCACCCCCATTTTGGTTTTTGCTCAAGGCTAGTGCTCTGCCACTTGAAGTTCAGCTCCAACTTCCAGCTTTTTGGGGTAGTTAATTGGAGATAAGAGTCTCCCAGACTTTCCTGCTCAGGTTGGTTTCAAACTTTGATCTTTTAGTAGCTAGGACTACAGTTGTGAACCTCTGGAACCTGGATTTTGGATCTTTTTTTTTTTTTTTTCTTTTTGCCAGTCCTGGGGCATGAATTTAGAGCCTGGGCACTGTCTCTGAGCTTCTGTTGCTCAAGTTAGCACTCTGCCACTTGAGCTACAGTGCCAGTTTTTGTGTTTATGTGGTACTGAGGAATCGAACCCAGGACCTCATGCATGCTAAACAAGTGCTCCACCATTAAGCCACATTCCCAGCCCTTTTTGGGTCTTTTGAGACATGGTCTGGCTGTGTCGCCCAGGCTGGCCTCAGGATCCTTCTGCCTTCACTTTCTAAGTGCTAGATTATCGCTATGCATCATTACACTTGGCCTATTGTTTTCCTGTCAATGCACCAGTGGTTTACGCCTATAATCCTAGGAGGCTGAGTTAATGGTTCAAAGCTAGCCTGGCAGACAAATCTCAGTGACTCTTATCTCCAGCTAATCAGAAAAAAATCCAGAAATGGAGGTGTGGCACAAGTGGTAGAGTGCCAGTGGTTAGCAGAAATGCTAAGTGAGATAGTGACAAGGCCTGATTTCAATACACACACACACACACACACACACACACACACACACACACAAATTATACCCAACCACACCATGCATTAGTATTTCGTTTCATAGCTGGTTTCTTGTCACCTACTTCATCATGCACACTGCTCCTTCTCAGTCTGTATGGAAACCACCTCCATGTTTAACTGATGTTATGTTTCTCTGATCTGATTTCCGGCACAGAATAGAGTCCCTGGAATTTCTGGATGAAATGGAGCTCCTGGAGCAGCTCATGCAGCATTACTGTCTGTGCTGGGGGACCAAAGGAGGACAGGAACTTGGTAGGCAATCCAATCCACCCTCTGCGGCTGGGAGCCAGCCAGGGGGCCCTTCCCTCTCCGAGGGCGAGGGTCATGCCGGGAAGCGCTGTGTTCGTGGAGCACGAGTGTAGCCCTGGGACTCGGCTCTGTTCGTCTCAGTTTGTAGCACAGAGGTCAGAAGAGCTCTTTTTTTCTTTTTCTTTCTTTTTTTGTGTATGAGTGCTAGTAAAGGGGCTTGAACTCAGGGCCTTGTGCTCTTTCTTGGCTTTTTCACTCAAGGCTGGTGCTCTACCACTTGTGCCACACCTCCACTTCCAGCCTTTTGCTGGTTGGTTACTTGGGAGATAAGAGTCTCACAGACTTTCTTGCCCAGGCTGGCTTCAAACTGTGACCCTCAGATCTCAGCCTCCTGAATAGATAGGATTAAGATAGGATTACAGGTATGAGCCACCAGCACCCAGCTCTCTCAGTCCTTTTAAAAATTATCCATAAACAATATCCTTTTTTTTTTTTTTTGGTCAGTCTTGGGTCTTGAACTCTGGGCATGGGCGCTGTCCCTCAGCTGTTCAGCTCAAGGCTAGCCCTCTACCACTTGAGCCACAGCACCACTTGTGGTTTTCTGGTGGTTAATTGGAGGTAAGAGTTTCATGGCTTTTCCTGCCCAGGCTGGCTTTGACCCACGATCCTCAGATCTCAGCCTCCTGAGTAGCTAGGATTATAGGTGTGAGCCACCAATGCCCGGCCATAAATGATATCTTGTGCCACCTCTGTTCATCTGAAGGATCTCAGCAGAGCTGCAGTGCTGAGGTCTGCTGGTGACAAGCGCTGGCCCAGCGGGCCCCACGGTGCCGCATTCTCCTCTGCGTGTCTTTGCTCTCTGCTGAGCCTCTGACAGCATCGTGTCTCCTCTGCCCCTCAGGTTTGAGGGAGATAACCTGTTGATCTGTTGAAGGCTCGTGCTGAACTGGAAGCTGAAGCCTCCCGGATCTGAGCCAGGCTTCCTGACGGATGGGCAGGCCGAGTCCCCCTCATCTCCTCCCACTGTCTGAGCATCCTCGATTCCAAAGGCCATTGTTCCTGGTTGACATATATCATTGTTTAAATAAATCTCATTTGCCAATTGCCTGTGTGTGGAGTCCATGTTGATTGGATGCCATTCTGGGCTCCTCAGGATGAGGCAGAGGTTGCTTCCATGGCAGCTAAAGCCAAAGATCCTGAATCCTATTCTAACCCTGAGTCTGTGTAGCTCAGGACTTTGAATCCATCTGGGCATTTACTCCCGTAGGTATTCTTTTGTGGGTGTGTGTGCGCGTGCTGGTACTTGGGTTTGAACTCAGGTCCTTGTGCTCTTGCTCAGCCTGTTTGCTTACCTGGTGCTCTACCACTTTGAGCCACACCTCCAGGCTACCTTTTTGCTGTTTTTTTTTTTTTTCTGGAGATGAAAGCTCATAGACTTTTCCTGCCTAGGCTGGTCTTGAACCACCATCCTCCAGATTTTAGCCACAGGTGTGAGCCATCAGCACCTGGGTTCCATGTTCACTTTATTGAGGCACTGTATACCTAGCATCACGGCCTGGCCCGGAAGCCGGGCATCTTCTATGGCTCCTGCGTCAGCAGCCACGGCCACACTTGCTGGCTTAGTTGCAACCTTCATCTTGGTTATGCCAGGCTGAGTAATGATTCTCTAAAAGGTCTGCCTCATGATCCCTGCCACCCGAGTGGAATTTACAAACATCATTAAGGTAAAGCCCTCAAAACAAGAAGGCCTGGGGTTATCTCAGTGGGCTGCCAATCACCAAGGTCTGGAGAAGAGAAGAGGCATGCCATGGGCAACTTTGAAGATGCAGGAAGGGAACCTAGACAGCTTCTAGAAACTAGAATGTGTTAAGAACACAGAGCCTCCCCTCCGCCTTCTGGAGGACCTAGCCCTGCTGACAACCTAGCCTTAGCCTAGGTAACACAACTTCCTGTTTCTCACCTCCAGCACTGTAAGAGAGGAAACCTGTGGTGGGGTCAGTGCTAAGGTGGTAGTCCTTTGTTTCAGCAGCTGCAAAGCCTCAAGCCGCGGTGATAGTAAGCTCTGAAGTACCACCCCCACAGTCCAGGAGCAAGACCCAGCCACACCTGGTGGGCTTCTTGGCTGTGGGATCAGGGCTGTGAATCTGGATCATAGGAGTGGCTATGAGGAAGCCTTGGGCGCTCGGCTCAGCTGCAGCAGCCTGGACCCCCTTTTCCCACAATAGGGAATCCTTGATCAGTGTTTTCCTAGAGCCAGAGTGTGTGTGTGTGTGTGTGTGTGTGTGTGTGTGTGTGTGTGCGTGTGTGTGCATGTGACCCGTGGGTGGGAGTTGGTACATCGGGATAGCCTGAAATGGAAATCAGTCATCACCAAGTGAGAAAGCCATTTCCATTCTGGCTACTTGGCACATCTCTATTGCCGGTTAGTTATAGTGTTTCTAACGTTTGTGTGTGTGTATGTGTGTGTGTGTGTGTGTGTATGTGTGTGTGTGTAATATCCACCAATCCAGAGTTCATGAAACCCTGGGACCAACCTGTTAGTGGGTAAATAAGTCAACAGAGGATTGGGTCAGTCAGCTAAGATATGGATGTGGAAAGGATGTGGTGTGTGTGTGTGTGTGTGTGTGTGTGTGTGTGTGTGTGTGTTCTGGGGCCTGAATTCAGGGTCCAGGAGCTTTTTTGTTCAAGGCTCATGCTCTGTCACTTGACCCACAGCTTCACTTTCTACTTTTTGCTGGTTACTTGAAAATAAGAGTCTCATGGGCTTTCCTGCCCAGGCTGGCTTTGAACAGCGATCTTCACATCTCAGCCACCTGAGTAGCTAGGATTATAGGTGTGAGCCACTGGCACCTGAAGAAGGGAGGAAATATCTATTTATTTAACCAGTCCTGGGGCTTGAACTCAGGGCCTGGGCTCTGTCCCTAAGCCTCTCTGTACTCAAGGCTAGCACTCTACCACTTGAGCCACAGTGCCACTCCTAGCTTTTTCTGTTTATGTAATTACTGAGGAATTGAGCCCAGGGCTCCATGCACTCTACCACTAAGTCACATTCCCAGCCCCAGGTAGGACATTTTGAAATTGCTGCATATTACCAGTAATACAGAGGAGTGTTGTTTTCTGGGACACTTTTATTTTCCCGTGTCACTGAATGTCTTTTGTGGCAAATAAAAATGTTTTATTTCACCATAGGTTAAAGTCAGAGTTTTCTATAATACCTCACGGAGGGCAGCAGTAGTATCTGCTTACAATGTAAAAACCTGACATTGCATGAGCCCTATTTGCCCCTTGTTTATGAATTGTGTTCCCTCCAATGCAAAAATCTCCATTCACCATTGATGACTGTGTTCTAAACTATTGCTCAAAATTCCTTCCAGCTTAGCATGTGTGATGCCCTGCTTTCCATCCCCAGCACCACCAAAACAAACCCCATCAATTTTAGTTCTAAAAGTGACTTTAGGCCAGGGCCCTGGTGGCTCAACCCTGGACTCCTACCTACTCCAGAGGCTGAGACCTGAGAATTGCGGTTCAAAGCCAGCCTGAGCAGGAAGTCCCTGATACTCTTATCTCCAGTTAATCACAGAAGAAAAAAAAAAAGAAAGTGGCACTGTAGCTCAAGTGGTAGAGTACTAGTCTTGAGCTAAAGGAGCCCAGGGACAGTGCCCAGGCCCAGAGTTCAAGCCTCAGGACCAGAAAAAAAAATTAGGCTCTGTGCATGATTGCACACACCTGTAGTCCCAGCTCTTCAGGTAGTGGAGGTAGGAGGATCATAGACTGGCCTTAAGGCCAGGCTGGGTAAAACCACAAAGGCCTTCCATAAAAACAAACTGAGCCAGGTACCAGTGGCTCATGCCTGTACTCCTAGCTACTAAGGAGGCTGAGATCTGAGGAATAAAGTTAGAAAACTTGTACTCCTGGATTTCAAAACTTCCTACATGACGACAAGAGCCCAAACAGTGTAGTACTGCCATAAGAACATTGCAAGTAGGTGGGTGCTGGTGGCTTTCACCTGTAATCCTAGCTACTCAGGAGGCAGAGATCTGAGGATCATGGTTCAAAGCCAGTCTGAGCAGGAAAAGCCATGAAACTCTTATCTCCAATAAACCACCAGAAAACCAGAAGTGGTGCTGTAGATCAAGTGGTAGAGCGCTCGCCTTGAGCTGAAGAGCTGAGGGACAGTGCCCAGGCCCAGAGTTCAGGCCCCACAACCAGACCCAAAAACAAAACAAAACAACAACAACAAAAAGATTACCATGGATTACAGAGAGAAACTTCTCCAAGAAAAGAAGGAACCTGAGAATCACAGGAAGGGAGGAAGGAGCAAGGGAAGAAAAACAAAAGAAAGAAGGGAAAGAAAATAGAAGGAAAGAAGGGAAAGAGAAAAGAACAAAAGAAAAATCACTAGAATGTTTCTGTTGCTGGCCATCAAAACAACTAGATTGTGACAGAAGCTAGTGGTTCATATCTGCATCATAGCTACTCAGGAGGCTGAGATCCTAGGACTATGGTTCCAAGCCAGGCTGGGCAGGAAACTTAGACTCTTATCTCCAATTAACCAAGAGAAAGCCAGAAATGGAGCCAGAAATAGAGCACTAGCCTTGAGCAAAAAAGCCCAGGACAGCATCCTCACCCTGAGTTCAAGCTCCTAGGACTAGCATGCACACACACACACACACACACACACACACACACACACACACACACACACACAATAAAAGAAAACAAAGACAGCTCATTTATGTTTAGTTTCCATGATTATCTTTAGATATAAATTGTACTTAACTTGAGATATGCCTTTAGATTCAACTTGCTTGCATGGCTCTATCATTTGAGCCACACACCTCCTGCTCTGCCCTTTCTCTGATTATTTTGGAAATGAAGTCTTACGGATTTTTCTGCCCAGGCTTGCTTCAAACCTTGATCCCTCTGTATCTCAGCCTCCTGAGTAGCTAGAATTACAGGTGTGAGCCACTGGTACCTAGCTCCATGTAACATTTCACTTTGATTTGTAAGGGTTCTTTACATAGTAAGAATAATAATAACATTGTATCTTTGTGTATCTGACTTTCCCCAGTTTTTCCTTCTGGCTGATCACGGTTTGTTGTTGTTTTCATTTTTCAGCTCTATCTTCTTCTGGTGTGGTCTGATGCAATCCTTTGCTTTATGAGAAATGACTGGTGCTTCTGTGAAACCTCTCCCTCTCACGATTATGAAGATGTTCACCCTTGTTTTATTTTCCTGCTTTTATGGCCTTCCTTTTACATTTTAACCTTTGATTCATTTAAAGTTTATTTGGACCCACCTCACCCTGGTCAAGAAAACAAATAACAACAGATGCTGGTGAGGATAGAGGCAAGGTCAGGAAGGAGCTCTTAGTCATTCCTGGTAGAAGTGTAAATTAGACTGACTGCATGGCAGTCAGGATAAAGGATATTCAGAACACTAAAAACAGATATTCCATATAATTCTGCTATCTCACTCCTGGGTATATACCCTAAAGAATCAGAGTCAGCTTATCAAAGATGCACCTGCACGCCACATTCTTCATAATACTATTCACAATAGTCAAGCTATGGAATTAGCAGGTGCCTGCCAATGAATGGATTATTGAAAATGTGATTTTTATATAAAGAATGAATGTTTACTCAGTTATTAAGAGGAATGAAATGGCCAGGCGCCCGTGGCTCACCCCTGTCATCCTAGCTACTCAGGAGGCTGAGATCTGAGGACGGCAGGTCAAACCCAGCCCGGGCAGGAAAAGCCATGAAACTCTTATCTCCAATAAACCACCAGAAAACCAGAAGTGGCTCTGTGGCTCAAGTGGTAGAGCACTCCCCTTGAGCTAAAGAGCTGAGGGACAGCGCCCAGGCCCAGAGTTCAAGCCCCATGACCAACAAAAAAATAAAAAATTAATTAAATGATATGGATCACTGGAAAACAGCTGGAACTGGAGAACATCATGTTAAGTGAAGTATCACAATTCATTTGTGAAAGCTGAGTGGGTTGGATGGGTGACAAAACTACTACTAAGAAGGTAGAAGAGAAGGGAAAAGGTGAACAGGGGTTGCGGTGGGTGAGGAGAATAGGAAAGTAGCAGAG